TGGTCTCCCTGAAAACAAGACCAAATTGCGACAACGAGGTCAACCCACTTCTATCAATCGAAAGGAGACTTCGACCACACCAGAGGCCACTACATCTTGGTCTTCATATATTCAGGATGTTCTAAGTTTTAATTGAGAATCACGTTTATTGCGTAATAATTTGGTAGAAAAGTATAGTTAAGGCATGAATCACGAATGTGTGAATAAAAAGTGTGACCCAAAGTGTATGATCAGTTTGACAAAGACCAGGTTGATGAGATGAACATACATACCGTTTTTATCGCATTCACTAAGGCTTGGCCTTGTCGTGAGTGGTTTGGAGGGCCTGTGTGGACCACGCCGGCTTTTCCGCTTTTTGGCTCCTCTGCCGGCCAGAAACTGGCCGGGTGGCAGCAATTTAGTCAGCTCCCCAGGCGTCAGCTGGCTCAGCCTTGGCATCAATTGGGCCTGGCCATAAGAAGTCCTGCTAAATGAATCTGCCGTATGGAGCTCCATGCATTGTACAACGTCCGAATAAAGCTCTCCAGCCTGCTCCAGAGCCTCAGAAAGGCGAACTCTGAGTTGGATCATCGGCCGCGAGTTGGTTGCCACGGCAGCCGCGGCTGCGTCCGAACCCTTGTGTCGCTTCTGCCATGACGCCCAGGGGGAGTGCGAGTTGTTGCTAATCAAGCAGAGCTGGAGGGGGGGTGGGCCCTGACCATCCGCAACATTCCGACTGGGAGCATCATGGCCGTCTTTCGCAGGCAACTCGTCCTCAGTCAACCGGGCATTAGGCGCGAGGCCAACTTCGCCATCGGGACGTGATGAAGAGGCCATTTTGCCGAAGAACTCGCTGCGGATGGCTGAAGAGAAAGCAGGCAAGCGCGTGCCCTTGAGCTGAAACCCGCTCAAGACAAGATGACAAAAACAGACAAAAAGACATCAGTCCAATAAACAGGAGAGTAAGTGTCTCGTGAGCCCTGCAAACTCCATCTATCTCATACCAACTCAACGCAACAAGGTCGAAGTTTTGACCTCGCTTCCAGCTCATCAACAATCCTAGTCCGACTTGAACCTGGATCTTGCACGCTAATCTGAGGCAGGTATACATTCGTAGATTTACATAAACACACACACACACACACACACATCTTTACTCACCAACATGCATAGTCACGAGAACCAGTGAATCACAGTGTAGCTATTCTCCATTGTGGGAACTTCTACTATCAATCCTACAATACTTTAAGCAATCATAAGCTTGAAAAAACGGTATTATTCTAACACTGCTAATAGACTACGAATACAAGCAGTGTATTTTCGATATAAGTAAGCTTCGATATTATCAATAATTCTTGAATAAGATCTTAATCACTCTATTTCGCGTGAGGTAATTTAGGGACTGATGGTGAAGTTTTTTCACAATTAGATGAATATACCTCATTACGGCATTAATTTTCATTTGGTCCGACCACCCAAAAGCTTATCTTCTCCAGACTTGACGGCAGTTTTGACCTCGCCTCATCATCAGATCATCATCCCCAACAGGATTCGATACCGGGTGGTGAGTATCGTGCAGATGTTACCAGGCCACTCCATTGCCATGGAGCTGAGATTTCAGCTAACAGGCTTAAAAAGCCTAGTTTGAGTGTAGCCACATCCTCATAATTTCCCAGAACGGGTTTCAGAAGTAAGCCTCGCATAAAAGTCAAGAGTTACGATATATAACTTGCCTGCTGCGAAATTTCACTTCAACCCACCTAAATTGTTGTACCGAAGGGAAATGATGGATGTTCAGTCAATATATTCTTGCAGCACATGAGAGTCAGTGCTCTTGCCGATATTGAAACTCGTCTGCTTGATGTAAAATGATAAAATGGACATTTTTCGTTTATGAGTAGGTTTTTGAAACCACCAAAAGATCATTTATGTATGAAGTGTATTCACCGTATTTTTGTTGAGGCGGTAGAGGGACTGTTAAAATCATTATTAAACTATATGTGATATGCATTCTGAGATTATTTACCGTCTGCATACTTTGCCCCGTCTCCCTTTAAAGCCCAGTTGTCCAGCATCTATCGAAATGTGAAACCAGAATTCAGAAGAGTAGATCCCGCTTCGCCTGCATATAATTCACCTGGTGACTGGGCATTTTAGGGCCGTTGGACAGTGAAATGAACTAAAAAATAAAGCAATATTATAAAAGGTATAAAATCATGTGCACTTAAGACTTTTATATGAGATGTATTTGTTCTATTTTGTTTAGGACGATATCCAGACTGGTAGTTGAATGTTTACACTATGATATATAGAGATCTCACGTTTCCCATG